TAATAGGAATGTATAATAACAAATTCAACATGCTAGCATTGTTTAAGTATATAGCCTATGCATCTTTAAGTCCGCTCAATCTCCATATAAAGAATGTATATAAAAATCGTATCGTTTCAACTTGAAGTAGCAACGTTTGGAAGTATTCCAGTTCTTCCAATGTTTCTCCGTCCGAATCTTTTTCCTTCCATAAGTCCGTTCATAAGACGATGCGCATGTAACAGTTCGTTCACCCCTGCCAAACCGCGTGGCCGATTCCTAGCCGACAAAAACCGACTCGTATCTCACTCGGGCTGTACCTGTACGCGTGAGTACAGGTTCTGCAGAAGCAGATGGACCTGGAGCTGGAATTGGTGTCGGACAAGGCGGAGAAATACGGCGGACACTCGGTCGTGTTGGCCCGTGTGAGCGTTGTCGCGCTCAGCTCGCAGCCAGTCGACCAAAGACTGATGAACGACCCGAACGAGAGGCTTTGCCCCGAGTTCAGCGACGAGGAGGAGGAATTCAGCTCCGAAGGCGAGGCTGAGGGTAGCGACAGTGAACCCACCCTCGAGGTGCACAGGCGGAAGAGTCGCGCGAAGATACCGGCGAACGCCAGGGTGCGTACAAACGTTATTAAGGGGATCGGTTCCGGCATCGGCGCGATGAGACAGGATGTCAATGCTGCTCACTAAATTTACCAAAAATATTGGGTTTACGCCATTCGATTCTACGTCTCTGTTTCTCAGTGTCGGCACAAAATTCTTTTTAATATTGTACATTCGTATTAATATCGTCTTGATTCTCTGAGAATTAAAGATGTAGGATTGAATGGCGTATGTTCATATTTTACACTATTCTTGTCTGCTTATTGACAGAAAAAAAAATGTTAACATTTTTTCGACAGAAGTTAGAAGCGTGACTACCTTAGCCTATTAAGCACGATGGAATTCTGATAGATTCAGGATTTATTTCAAACATGGACTGCATTTTCATTGCAGTGAAATAAAATCAAGAAAAACAGTTTTTTTCCTGTTAATTATAATCGACAAATGCTTTGGGCGACGACTTAGTTACGTTTCTATTCAGTCGTGCAGACGTGGGTCACGCGGACGTCGTTCGAAATGGATATCTCGTGTTCAATTGTATTAGGAGCAGGAATGGAAAAAAGGATATGAGCTAGATTCGATTATTCGACCCGGGATACGTAATGGCATAAGGGTACATTGAACAGTCGGACGGAATGGGTTGCTTTATATTATTAGCTTCTATACATAGTTCAGACGGAAATACTCGACTCGTGACGAAATCCAATTACAATGCATGTTACGATTAGTTGAAAAATGATTTTTCGAAGTCTGATAAAATTGTTTCGATCGTTGCAGCAAAGAAATTTAAAGCAAAAATTCATAGCTCTCTTAAAGAGGCGGTTCAGAGTGTCCGAAGATTTGGATCAGGATCAAGAGGAGATCGGTCAGAAGCTTTCAGGTAGCTAAGTCACCCTTTCGATAAAATAGAAAACCATGAACACTTATCTGAAACACGTCGTGCTCACATTTCACGTGCGTCTTATTCATTATTTTATAGAGTCGTTAACACAGTACGCTGGATTTGTTAAAGGCGCAGAGATGGAAATCGAGGAACTGTTCGACGAGTTGGAAGATCTGTCTGACAGCGGTCCAGAATTGGACACGATGTCAGTCAGTAGCACGCCGAAACCATCCCTGCGACCTTTTTTCAGCTCTAGTCGATCGCTTCTCGCTCCTCCTCATTCCGGTAAGTGAAACCGTTCTCTTTTGACCGTAAATATCGTTGAGTATCGTTGAAGTAGATTTTGTAACACGTGAAACTCGATTGGCAAATACGTACGGGTTATCCTTATTACAATGCCTCGTACGGGAAGCGTTTGCGGGTGTAACCTCGAGCGAAAATAGACAAACAAATACACGATCACGTGGAACCTTTATCGTTTTAATTATTGTTGCTCCAATCGAGATAATTATACACGGTAAGGACACGCTCTGACACGTTGTTCGACGAATATTCTACCTTTTGACTCGCTTCTGTTCGCTAGAAAGTAAAGAAAGTATATTTGCCATTGAACACTTTCTACAGACCAACACGTTATCGCATATTAGCATTGATTTAATTGAACTTCTCCAGCGAATTGAATGTCTCTTAAATTTGTTGAAAGTGCGCTTATTCTTCTCTGTTTACGATTCGACTATATATGGATACAGCATGACTTGACTATGTGCTATCCTCAATATGTTTCTTTATATATTTCAAGATGATTTCTTTCATTTCATTCAATAAAAGTATCAGATTACATTAACAAGACCAATGGAGTAACACAGTTTCCCAATGTTTGATTCGTTGTTATGCGAGCAAACAGAGTTCGATTGGTTTCGCAAACATATCAACGTAAGATCAAAACGTTTTAATTGCCATTTGCTTGTTGCGAGTAACGTTTGTTCTCATGCGCTCTGATGTATACCATTCTTCATTCTTTCATGAAACTGTAAACCCTCGAATGACTTTTCTATAAAACGTATAACTGCGTTTTAATCAAATTGACCGCCCCTTTATGTCGCGTTTTCTTTTAAATCTATAGAGTCAATCTGAAAGAGTTGAGAAATTCATTTTAAAATAAATGTAAAAAATATGATACGCCATAAAATAGGATTCATATTCTATTTGAAAACGGGATTTTCAATTAGTATGATCTTTGAAATGGTGGGAAAATGTAGTTTTTCTGGAAAATTGTTCAACTGCTGGAAAATCTCGAAAATGGAGTTAAATTTGATGAATGTAATTAGATTTCGCAGTTCAGCGAACGCCGTTTTTGCCTGGTTAAATGAGAAGCCAAGACCTATGTGAGGAAAAAGAGGATACTTTTTATAATAAAGTCTCATGTGGTCCTCTCTTGCTAATGGGACATCAACTGTACAGAATATCTCATTACCTTTGTTATTAAAAAGTAGAAAATGAGACGGGACAAATTTTATTTTTTACATACGTAAATCCAAAGTAGACGTGTAAATGTTCTTAATTAGAATAAATCTAAATCCCACTTTATATGCATTTCCGTAATTGTTTTTATGTAAATACGGTGACTTCCAATAAAACGGGAAGAGAATTGTACGATTTTATAAACAAAATTCGGACGTAAACGTTTCTGCCACTACGGATTTGAATCCGTTTAACTAAATAAAAGTCTCGTGGGTTGGCTTTGCATTGTTGCATGTTACGATTTGGTAGTAGTAACCAACGAGGAGATTGGAAGCACTCCTGCGACTACAGCCGTAGGTCAGCAGACCGCAGGTCAGCCAGCTAAAGAAAAGCATCGTGTCGGACACACCACTCCAGGTATGTAAAAGCACACCAGATCATCATCGTTAAAAAAGAGAAACTAATAAATTAACTCTGAACCACTTTGCTAAGGATCTCTCCTTTGCCAAGCTAGCATGGCTGCGCGAATCTAAAACGCATGATAATAGCTTTTATTTTCATTTTTGTTTCGCTAAATCCCTTTTTTTCGCAATTTTTTATCGGTTAAAAATTAGTTTTTATCGTTTATTTATTTTTCGTTACGGAAGTACTGAAAATGATGCTTGGGAATTTTAACAAACGACGCTACAAACCTTTTATAATGTCGATTGTTGGTATAGAATTAGCAATCTTTATAAGTTATTATTTAAGATTAGACAGTATCAGTCGATTATTTTATTTAGATATTTAAATAGTCTATTCGAAGGGTCAAAATACATATCGCAGTGTACAAAATTTTATAGATTGGAGAAGGAACTCCACCGCATGAATATTACCTCTTGCTAATCTGCAGAAGCTTGGTGTTTCGTGATCAATGATACGAATATCGCTAAGTAGATGCCTGATAGTTTCACGATAGATGGTTCGTTGCAATGATCTTTCGATTTTTTTCAATATCCGATGTTCTTCGTTGTAAGTATTAAACAAAATTCGAGCCGCCGTCAATATAATCTCTGTACACGATATTAGTTCACCGATGCAAAGATAATCGAAGTTCCGACCATCTTCGATTTATTATTTTTAATCATTTTACAATTTCTGCCTTTATACTTCGAACGCATTTAATCTCAATACGAATCTCAATTATTGCAGTTTTATGTCTTCTATCATGTTTGCATCGCATAGTTATCAAATAAAAACGAAGCAATCACTATTTATCTCGGTTAATGTTAAAACACGTAATGATATAGATACACATGTGTAAGCAAATGCAATGAAGGGAAATAAACGTTTACTTGGCATCTGATTTCTTTTGTAGTCATCTTTGTTCGCTTCTGCGACACTCTGAAACGGGGTACAGTTTCCGTGAATGGTGGAACAGAACGAGACGTTAGTTTCTACACTGAATAAATAAAAACTGATTACTGTACAAATTTATTTTCTCCTTACCGAGATCGTTCTGCTAGGGAGATCGTATTCTGTGTCTGTGTGCCTCTCTTTCGCTATTCTTTACATGTAGTAATAATAACTTAAGAACAAAATATCGAAACAAGCAAATTGTAACACCAAAATCCTGTCCGCTGGCCTCTCTCTTTCTGCCTCTATCTATCTACTTATGTACGTACGTATCTATCTTTTTTATACTATGAACAATTTATATTTGTCTTTTCTCACTAACACTCTTCGCTCTTTCTCTGCTCGCTGTACCGATTAACACGCCGTTCTTACGTTCAATTACGATTTTTCTCTGACGCTGTATTAACGAAAGGAAAAAGGAATAAAAATACGGATTCCCACCTTCTGTCCATTTACATCGCACAATAATCCTATAGATAAAGTCTATACAATCGCGTCGTAACTTGATTAATTAAACTCGTTTGGTATCTGGAGTGCAACCGGCTACTTGAACGGGGGGGTTGAAACTCGTTCCGCGCTTGCTCTCTCTCGAGTCTTAATTTTTTTTTCACGAGATTAATCGATTACACGATTGTCGCCCACAGTACCGAACGTAATTTAGAGACCATAAACAAAGTAATTTTCTTAAATTACATCAATTCCCGAACGGGAAGATCTTTTATTATTCCAGCAAATATTATAATTAGTATTTCTGATTTATGCGTGCAACAGGCTTTATTTATAAAATTAAAAATTTCATACCTTCGTCATTTGAGAAGTGGAAATTTGTTATAAAAATATTTAACATTCGTTGCAAACACGTACGTGATTTTATGGTTGTAATGCAGAAGCATGGTCTCGTTCTTACGCTCGGTAGCGGAATTTCCGGTACGCGGTGCGTGCGCTCTGCGACGAAGAGTAATGAAATGTCGTTGCAGAGCGCGGCGTGGATAGGCAGAGCGACGATAGCTCCCGACGGGCGGACAGCGACTCGCATCCGGAGAATTGGACGGATCACGAGGCGAACGATCCGCCGAATTACGTGCCGGGTTCGCCGCCAAAGTCTGAACAGCACAAGTCCGAGAGCAGCGACAGGCGTAGCAGGCTCTTTACACGCGACAGGGGTACGCCGGGTGCCAACAAGTCCAAAAAGCATAGCCTCAGCGTCGACTTGAAGCCTCCCACCGACTTGAACAGCTCCGAGGTAAGTGCTTGCAGACGTAACGAGATCGGGTGTGATTTATGATAATAAACTCGAAAATCATGGCCAATTCTTGACTCTTAATAATTTATAGGATTAATCATTAAAGTTGACGCGTGCTATAATTTGATTAACTGCGTATAATTTTACGCATTATGCTCTTCATTAAATGATAATATTCTACTTTATATGATTGTGTAATGAACACGTAAATTAGTTGAATTTATTACGGAAGACGGATGCTCACGCGCGTGAATACAGATGATCCACGTTGTGGAACATTTCCCTCATATATCATTCTGGACGCGTATTAACTAGAACACGTACATATTGTTACAGCCGCGGAAAGCGTTGGTCGAGCAATTAAGCCGGGTACTGCCAGATGACAGTCTGCCAGACGCAGTGTCGTTGGTGTCTCTGGCCGATCCAGGCGCGGCCGTGCTGGCCACGAGACTCCAAGAAAGAAATCAACGAGTCTTGACGACCGCCTCGCCGGCGGATATTCGTGCCACGTTCACGTGCTTAGTCACGCGAATACAAAAATTGTAATTATCGATGCTATTTTTTATACAAAGTAATCGCGTCAATCTAAAAAAACTATCGTTTCGTGGATTTTTGTCAATTATAATTGAAAAGAATGAAAGTGCGTCCACTCGTCAAGTAACAAAATGTTTTGTCTTAGCATTTCTATATATAAAAGGATAATATTTGATTTCTGTTGAATGAAGAAACGAATCGATAAATATAACTTCGATGATCGGAAGTATTCACTCATGCTCTCTCACTGTCAGTTGTAACAGTTCCGCGAAACCACCAGCACCGATCAAAGTGGTAATCGCCGGCGGGGATAGTTTCGTGAACGCGGTGCTACGTCACTACGTGGATCACCTGAGTTTCCGGCCGCAGAATTACCTCAAGTTTTTCGTCGTACCTCTGGGTTCGAACACACTGTCGAGGTATCTCGGCTCGATAGACGCGAAATATTCGATGTTGTTCGGAGACGAGTGGAGGGAATTGCTCGAGAGGGAAGGCGGTGGTGCAAGCGAGTGCGCGGCGAGGGTGTCGGAGTACTTGGCGTCGGCCAGTTCGACCCTGTTGCTGCCCATCGCGGAAGCCATGGTCACGTACAGGTACGTTTTATAAATAGAATTTCTTTTATTCCGTTTTATACTATTAATTCAATTTTAAACGAATAAATTTTGCTATTACGTTTACAATTTTAAATAAAAATGAGATACGAATATCGTATTTCGAAGTCCTTCTTAGACTTTAACTATAGCGAGGATCTTCCGCTTTAATTTTGCAGAGAGACGGATGATAGCAGTCAAATCTTTATCCCGTTCATAAACGACGTTCGGGTGGGCTGCCCGGATAGTAGTTCCTCCGCGTCGGTCGATCTGGAGGAAAGTAACGTGACTATGTCAGGATCTCCGCCCTCGTTACCACCGCCGGGATTACCTACTCCGCTTCCGGGTAGGTTAACACCACCGAGCAGCCCTAATGTTGGTCAGCCGACGAGGGAAGGCTGGGAACCGGTCGAGCTGCAACTCGATTACTGGAGCAAACAGACGCAGGGCGAGAAGGGCAAGAATTCGTTGAGACAAGCGTTCAGGGCATTGCATGTCCAGAGACTTCCGCTTTTGGGAGAAACTCCTGGTCCCTACTTGTCCATGAATTACACCATCAAGGAGAAGAAGCAGAAAAGTATGTACGATACTAAATTTAACTTCATTTTTAACTAATAAAACTTGGCATCCCTTTTTTCCCGTTATTTATAGTGCTATTTTCTGAATTACGTTGTCTTTACGTAAGGTTACTTGTTTCTTTTCCAGTAATGAGACTGGGTAAGAAGAAAGAAAAAGAAAAGGAAAACGAGCCAAAGAATCAAACAGTCGAGGGAGTGACGCGACTTATTTGCTCCGCGAAGACTCACAACATTCCATTAAGAGGTAAATAAGATCTCAGCTTTTTTGCTATCACACAGAATATCTAAAATACTAGACTCCTTTTCTCGATAGTTCGAAATTTTAGGCGATCAATTGAAAGAATTATTTCCTTTTTAAATACGTAAAAAAAAATGTTCCGATTTAATATAAAGGAGCATTTTAATATTGCACGGGTGTGAATCCGTTTTTTCTTAGTGAGCATCGACGGTACCGAGTGGTACGGTGTGAAATTCTTCCAACTGTCGGCGCAGTGGCAAACGCACATCAAGACGTTTCCGATAGCCATGTTGGAGTACACATCTCAGCAGCAACCTCCTAATCCCGCATAAGAGAGAGAAAAAAAAACAATAATCCGCTTCCTCCGTTTTCAAAAGGCCAGACGTATTTCATTTGTGTTCATGGATAATGCCAATTAGGATTCGTCAGCTTGTCGCGCAAGCCCGATAACCAAATCCTCGAAACCAAAAATGAAAAAAGAAAACGAAACGTAGCACGCGAGGTAGAGCACAATTTCGTACAATGGACGGTCCACCGCTTCGAACCGCTGGAGCTGCAGCTGGCAAGTAAGTCCAAAAGTTTGCCTGTTTCCTCCTTATTTCAATCCTTAATAGTTTCCTTTCATTGTTTGATGTTTTGTTAAAAACTGTAGTTCTTGGTAAAAAAAAAAAAGATATACTACGTGACGTATTCTTCTTGCGTAAAAATTGCCAAGAGTGTGCGAGTTCGACGTAACGAGTATAATTGCTCGATAATACGAATTCTATTCTCTTTGATACAAGCGAATGCCGGTTGATTTTCTCGACGATCGGAGATCATTTTTTTTCCACTCGACCCTCGGTTCTCATTCTCGTACACACACGTAGTCAAGCTACACCGTAATGCATGTAGCGATTGTTACTTCAAAATGAAGTATGCGACGAATCGTAGAAGTGGTTGACACATATCGTATTAGAATTATCGTAGACAATGATAATAACGGCGGATGTCGTTGGTCACGGGGATGCCATACGAACAGAGTACGAGAACGCGTTGTTTCAAACGCGTTCACTCGGGAAGACGTACGTCTGATATTCGACTACCCTGTAGGAGGAAAAAGTGTTATGAGTGTCGTTCGAATATGTACATATAGGATTTTTTAAACAAAATAAAATCGCTCGGTTTCGCTGCGGGTCGAACTGAGATACATACATATGTATTTGCTAAGTTTAGGTCTTTGTCTAACATCGCAGAGGGTAGCGATCAGAGGTCTTTTAGCGTTAAATTATATATTTATTTAATTGATCGCGTATATTCCGTGTAAACGAGTTACATACATATTAGTGATAGAGCGTGCGGCGACATTATCGAAAGAAGTCTGTGATACAGGCGAATATTTCTCTTAGCGCACAAAATTTTCTCTAAACAAAGACGAAGAACGAAAGAAGGAAACAAGAGAAATGAATATGAAGAACGTGACGATGGCGATGGCGAATAAGCTCATTAGTTGTTGTATCTAAATACACATACTCCTTTCCTCGTTTTAAGATTTCAACATATTTTTTGTATTCCATTTTATAGACTTTTAGCCATAGGCTGCTGTAGTTTAAATACTCTATTTTCAGACTTTATTATTTGATACTTTTACTCCCCGTTAAACGGCTCTCCGACTACGAATTTCGATAAGGTATATCCATCCGCGTGTTATTGTTTAGCCAACGCGAATTCGTTCGTCGAACAGAAACACGACGTTTGCAAATGTGCCGACTGATCATGTTCCTCCTCCTCCTCCTCCTGATCGATACGCGATAGCAAGCATGATTCAAAAGAGGCCGCGATGAAAAGACAGAAATCGAAATGTATCCGGCTGTACTTCTCCCTTTTTTTAAAAAATCTAATCTCGTAATTGAAAATCAATTACATAAACTGATCGTTAGTTCATAATCCCTCTTGTCCCTATTAAAAGGAATCATATCACGTGAAACGATAGGAATTATCTTAGGAAATATATTCTCTTAGGGAAAAGGAAGAAGTAAACGTAAGTTTCGAGGAAACGAGGACTGTTTAAACAATAGATCTGCATAACGATAACAAACATTTTTCGACTTCCTTCATGATTTAGCTGCTACGAGAACGAAAGAAAGCGAGAAACGACGAGAACAATTTGTCTATCATTTTGTTGTTTCCGGCAACGTAGCCTGTCGTGTTGACTGCCTAATGCCAAATCGAAAAAAAAGAGAGAGAGAAAGAGAGAGAGAGAGAGAGAGAGAGACAGAGACAGAAACAATTCGTCCAGACGAATTCAGATAAAAGACATTATAACACACTGGCACATTGTATATATCATAAAAAAAAAAGAAAACGAAAAGGAGATAATGGCCATTCAGGGCGGCAGTTTTGGAAAAATATCAAAACGATCCGAAATTTATTCCTGTGTCCATAGACGATGACGCTAACCCCGCGAATCCCTTCTTCCCCCGATTTTTGCTAGTCTGCAATTATTTAGTTTGTACGAGTATCGAACTGTGCAAGTTTGTAGTCCTACATTTTACATTTTTAAACGGCTGAGAGCAATATACGTTCGCGTGAACTCCCGGCAAGGTAGTTAACTTAAAGAAGAAATAGCGAGAAGCAGCGTATGGCAGTTTTAAAGTGCAGTATGTATGTGGAAGCGTGTGAACGTAACAAGATCCTGGCTCTTAAGTGGACATGGGAGCTCGAACTGATTTACTTTAGATTTACGTGCCCTCGGCACGTGCAGCAGCTTCGCGTGAGATTATACTAATCCCATGATTCTTGGGTGGAGCTTTAGAAACATTAAACAGGAACGAGAAGTACGATATAAAGAATAATGTACAACAGAATTTTTCATTGGAATAGAAAAAATATTAATTCGACTGATTAACAAAAAGGAGTTTAAGCCACGAAGATTTCTCTTGTACAAATTGAACACGTGCCTAATCGCAATTATATTAATTAGAGAGGATAAAGATGTTGGAGTGAGTAAGTAATTAGTAAACCGTCAAGCGCTTTCCTGCAATCATCGAGAAAGGCCCGTCCTATTTTTTTTAGAACCGAGTATACGGACACACGGACGGTATATCGCAGAGAATAAGAATGCGAACGCACTCGAAAAGTCTGAAAACGGAAAAAACAAAACTGTGCTAGCAGGCCAGCCGCAATGGAAAAGAAGCTGACAAAGAGTTATTGTTACGTCCACAGGTATTCCACGCACATTACACGAACGATATTAGTCGTTAGCTCGTATTAATAAAGTAAACAGTGAATTGTTGAGCAAACGAACAAGTCATGTTGAACAGATAAAATTTTTACGATGTAATACATATGATTCATGTGGCAATTTTTCGTATCCCACAGTCTTACAGGGAAATAAATTCAGTTCATAAATGAAAGAGCACGTACCGTTTTTTATCTTTTTGTACGAAGTAACAATGGGTAAATTCAATATCGATTATTGATTAGTTGCCTCTTTCCAACAATTTTAGCAACCTTTTTATTTCACTGTTCACTTGATTAATGCTAGCTGGGTGTAGCTGCCTTCATCGAGTAAGTACATGCTGGATCGCTATTCAGCAAACGAACCTGCCATATAATGTATATATTTCTACACGTACATATACATGTATGTAGATATGTTTTATGACCGCAGTTGGAATGAAGCATTCGTCGCTTCGTAGTTTTGCACAATGTCGTTTTCTCCTCGTCGTCGTCGACGATCCATAATGACTTTTGCCCGCATTCGCTCGCCGCTTCGATAGTCTCGATCGTATTGCCAAAAATCCACGTGCTAAAGCCAATGAAAAAAGGAATGTTAAAATGAAAATGGAAAATGAACAGCGAGACGCTGAATCGATCGGGACACGGTGTAGGAGACAGTGTGATTGATACATGCAAAGACTATACGTTTTTACTTTCGTATAATTGTACTATCTAACGCAGTAGCGAAATGCGTTGAAGAACTGTTCTTCACTTTTGGAATTCACGGTAGCAATAGCCTGTAAGCAATTATCTCTTAATGTTCCTTGATATTTTTTTCCTTCCGTTTTACCGTTCTCTCCTTTTTGGTTTTAGTCGTTAGTTAATTCGTTCGCCAATAAACGCTTGCGTTTTTCAGCCGATATCGACTCGTCGAAGTTGCGTGTAATTGATAAGCTTAACACGTCAGGGGCGTCGGCCTCTTTAGGAATTCGTGAAAAAAAATACGTGTAACGACGATTACGCGATACGTGCTCACGGTCTCCATTCTTTCCGTCTCCTTTTGTGAATTGTTTCGTTTGTGCTCGAAAGCCAGGATGAATTCATCTCTTCGTAGAATGCAACAAATGCGCGAGTTAAGGACTGATTCGTTTTCGTTAGTCGAGTTACTGTACTCCATATCCGTTCGAACTCAAATAAGTCCAACTCGAATTTATGTCTGTCTATGAAATACATTAAAAATTGTTTAATCTACTCGTCATAAGACTTGAATATCTGTTGCAAATTAAATAATGTAAAATGATTTGGATGAAGACTTTCAAATTGTTTGGTACAACTTGAAATCGAGTAACTCGTACTAATAAGAAATCAGACGCTCGAGGATTATTTTCGATTCTAGTCAAGACGCACGAAGGATCGTGTTAATTTTTTCGAACCAGGTGTGAAACGAATTCGCGACGAGGTTCAAATCGAGATGACTAGACATTAATGGATACGCGCGAGGAGCATGTTCGCGGTTCAGCGTCGCGTTTTCCTTTTTTGTTCTCAAGAGGAGAAGAGAAAAGAAACGGATCAATATATCTTTCTTGAGAGGTAAGAAGGGATTGCTATATCATTCCTATACCTATAGGAGCGTGGGCACGTACTTAGGTACAGAAACCGGGTATCACATTCAGTAAAAAAAAAAAAGCGTTCGCTATAGGTTTTCGTCGCTGTATAAGTGTATAGGAAGTTTTAACACACGTGGGCAGGCAGGCCCAAGCTCAAAGCTTACAATAATTAAACAGAAAAAAGATGTAATTAATATGTATATATATATTATACATATGGATATATATTGAGAGCGTGTTTTTGGTACCAGCGACTAAAAAGAGAAAAAAAAAGTAGAAAACGATTTTAAAAAAAGGAGATGGATGGATTAGAGTGATGCGTCGTTTAATTTTCACGGTCGTTGGCGTGGACGTCTTTGATTGCGTTTATGGCCGGCTTAAACGACGTGTGTATATATGATTAACTTGTTATCGGTAAATAATTAGAGAGACTTCAATTAAAAGGGCTGTAAAACGTGACCTGGCTTCTCGGCGGGACACGGGAAAGAGTGAGATCGAGAGAATGAGAGAGTGAAAACTGGGATGTACCAGGACTTCCGTATGCATCCGCGTTCTCATTTATTGCGCCAAGAATCGTTACTTTCCTCGTTTTATATCAGAATATCTTTTCTTTGTCGAATGAAGCTATGCTGGAAGTGCTGGTAACATGTAGAAAGAACACGGGGAGAAAGAATGATTCCTCTTTTACAGAAACGTACTGTCTCTGCGTAAAATATTGATAAAGTGGTAAGAAATAAAAAAAAGACAAGGCAAAGAGTGTTTATGTACATTTGTTAAGGCGGTTTGATACGCGCGTGCATATTGTTTGACCGTTTCAAAAAGATATTCTCCGAGATGTTTATACACGTGTCTGCTGTTTTATGCTTTTCCTTGAAACGTGAAACGGCGTGTTGTATAAGAGTATGTAATACATTACCTGTATATACATTACCTGCAACACAGATACGTAAACGTATTAATTTTGCGGACCTCGCGATAAATGTAATTTACTGCTAAAAGGTATTCAGTTTTCAACGTCCGTTTGTAGTTTTTCTTTTCAAACGTTAGTTTTGTAAAGTGCCGATTGTTTTAAAAATAATAAGGAAACAAGAGGATCGAAAAATGTAAATGAATGTTAGGGTGGGCCGTGACGTTCGCTATAGGTTTTCGTCGCTGTATAAGTGTATAGGAAGTTTTAACACACGTGGGCAGGCAGGCCCAAGCTCAAAGCTTACAATAATTAAACAGAAAAAAGATGTAATTAATATGTATATATATATTATACATATGGATATATATTGAGAGCGTGTTTTTGGTACCAGCGACTAAAAAGAGAAAAAAAAAGTAGAAAACGATTTTAAAAAAAGGAGATGGATGGATTAGAGTGATGCGTCGTTTAATTTTCACGGTCGTTGGCGTGGACGTCTTTGATTGCGTTTATGGCCGGCTTAAACGACGTGTGTATATATGATTAACTTGTTATCGGTAAATAATTAGAGAGACTTCAATTAAAAGGGCTGTAAAACGTGACCTGGCTTCTCGGCGGGACACGGGAAAGAGTGAGATCGAGAGAATGAGAGAGTGAAAACTGGGATGTACCAGGACTTCCGTATGCATCCGCGTTCTCATTTATTGCGCCAAGAATCGTTACTTTCCTCGTTTTATATCAGAATATCTTTTCTTTGTCGAATGAAGCTATGCTGGAAGTGCTGGTAACATGTAGAAAGAACACGGGGAGAAAGAATGATTCCTCTTTTACAGAAACGTACTGTCTCTGCGTAAAATATTGATAAAGTGGTAAGAAATAAAAAAAAGACAAGGCAAAGAGTGTTTATGTACATTTGTTAAGGCGGTTTGATACGCGCGTGCATATTGTTTGACCGTTTCAAAAAGATATTCTCCGAGATGTTTATACACGTGTCTGCTGTTTTATGCTTTTCCTTGAAACGTGAAACGGCGTGTTGTATAAGAGTATGTAATACATTACCTGTATATACATTACCTGCAACACAGATACGTAAACGTATTAATTTTGCGGACCTCGCGATAAATGTAATTTACTGCTAAAAGGTATTCAGTTTTCAACGTCCGTTTGTAGTTTTTCTTTTCAAACGTTAGTTTTGTAAAGTGCCGATTGTTTTAAAAATAATAAGGAAACAAGAGGATCGAAAAATGTAAATGAATGTTAGGGTGGGCCGTGAAATTTAATTTATTCAAAATAAATTAACTCTTCTGAATCAGTAATAAAAATGTTACTTCGCTGTTTGGTCCATCCTAATAAATTTTTTATTACCACGAGGTCCCGTTTATCATCCTCGGACAGGATAAAAATAAAGGTCACACAGTATTGAGAGAAAATGGAAGAGGATATAAGGAATAATCTTTTTCCTTTCAACAAAGATTTTAAATAAAGGAGAGTACACGTACAATGCTCGTCGAGATTGAGTGATAAACACGAGAGAGAGAGAGAGAGAGAGAGAGAGAAAATTAGAGAAAGACAATGAAAATAAATTTCTGATAAGTGAAGAACGCTAGCCTCTTTTTAATTTAACTCCCCTATTGTTGATATAATGAACATGAAATGCGTATATGTGATACATATTATTATAAACGTAATATTCGAATACAGGATATTATTGTTATTAACTTGTAGGGTAATAATTAGTGACGGCTTGTGTCCTGGGCATAACGCATCGTCGTTTTATTCTGCAAAATCGTTGTACAGAATACCTTTCCTTTGTATATATTTATACACGCATATAATGCAGAGTACAATGTAAAACGGCATAATTTATTGATTCGTTTTATAAACAAGAATGTATAAATGTAATTAATCTAACGGTGTACGATTGAATTCTTTTTTTTTTAATTAAAAGAGAATTCTGAGAAACCCATTATTAAATATTCCGTTCCAGCTGAAATTGGACGTCGGTGATTCTGGATCATATCTCAGGACACAAGCGGACGTAATGATGTAATTAGAAAATAGAGAAAACTTGTGGTAACTCTGTATGTTTAAAGAAACGAAGGTAACAATAAGGAGAAGTTACAAATTGAAGGATGAAAGTGGGAAAAAGCTATATTGTTGATGTTTGTAAGCTTGAAATATAAATGTAACGCAGTTTCCAATATTCTGTTACGATCCCAGTGCACCTGTAATATCCGATATAAGTATTCAACATTTCTTTTCTACCTTCTCCTTTCTTTTTTTCTATTACCTTTTAGATATTAGACACTACCGCTATTTTTCAAAACTTTCATTACGAACTTACGATTGAAATTTACAGATTGGCACAATTTTATTTTATATCTTCTATTAGTCAAGTTATTTGATTTCTATTCTGAAAAGGCTTGAAGCCAAGTAACTCGACTACAATAATGAGGCATTGTATTATACGTATTTTAAATGACTGCTAGCACCAATCGCAACTCATCATAAATGATCTTGCGTACACATAAATTCAGAATTTATTCGAACAGATTAAGAGAGACTGAGAGAAATAAAGAGTAGAAAGAAAGATGTATTAAAAACATGTTTGTAAATGATAACATCTCTTTGTATTTGTATCACGTTTAAAGCTAAATACCGACAACAAATCAAGTAAAATACGCGAGTTACACAGAAAAAAGAAACAAGTATAAACAATGATCACAATATTAATCTCTTATAGCGTAACACGGTACTATACGCGTGCACCGGGTCTTGTTCCTCGGCCGTTGCTGTTGCCTCCGTGGTTTTCGTGTTACGCAGGTGTTACAATATCATTGATACAAATATGATATATAACAAAAATCGTCGAATACTCTTGTATTAAAATAAAGTACAACTTTCCCATTAAAAACGCCCTCCATAACAAATGTTACATTGAACGATGACATTAAAAGTCGAACTCGATTACTTCTTGATTCCGTGAGAAGACGGTATCTCCTGGTAAGTAACGGAAGACGTATATTTTCGTTACGCTTGAAAATTTTTCTTTATATATCGATCCCGCGTCTCGTAGCGTTGAAGCAGGAAAAAATACGCGTTCTCTTTGATTATCGTTAGAAAACAAAAGTAATCACGCGGCATACGCGCACCGATGATAAATACAGCGTTCATTCATTTACTCCTTAAGAGTATTCTTTTGATTATGACGCGACAACGAATCGAAGAAGCTCCATAGTGTGAAAACAGGCACGGTGTACAATTATTCTCATTTGTATTTTCAATTAATGAACCTTGTTATTTTACGGCACTTGGGTACAGTTTTATTATCGTTTTTCATTATTAAAGATCTATGCTTTTCCTGTTTGTCATTTGAGAATCACACATGGGAATCTACAAATAATATGATATCTCTTTCGTACCTGGTATACGGCGTCACTTTTCGATAGAAATAACTTAAGATACTTTACGATCAGAGAGTATCTCAAGAATTTCGTAATTTTGTTTTATATATTGATACTGGTAAGGACTACGCTTGTAATTTACATACTGGCAAATACATAGTGAAACAAGCATGTCGTAGGATTCTTTCTTCAAAGCGCCTTGCTTCCAAGACATTCGGAATATTTAGTGATCGCGAAATGCAACGCAATGTTTAATGATACAGATTCTTCATAGATTTTCAAGCTGTCTATATTCGCGCATACGATCGAAAGACATTTGGCATAGCCACCAAATGATAAATATGTGTACATAATTATAGACGTACACAAGTCTAAGAAAAGCATATCGATTCTGATGATTAGTAAGATTGAAAAAACGCGGAAGAACTTTGATTCGTGTGATTGAACACGTGGAATTTGAAAATTTCAGCGTATAATTCCGTCGATAGAATTTATTCATATATTCTTATCTCTCTTAGGCAAATCGTAATTCGTTAAATACTACGTATAAGTTAGTAAAGCTTCGAAGACTGTTTTATGTACAAGAGAATGTGATATGTAACAATAAATCAGGAAGTGAGCTGCTCGATTTGCATACGTCGGTTAAGCGAAATCTCACACGTTCGCGTGACTCGAAATATAAATCAACAGTCGTTTTAATAAATGAATTTAATCCGTATCTTAAAAGCAATGCGCCCGATCTCAACACACGAACATTAAGTCGTATGCATTTGCGAGACTCTTGCTAGAAATTTTAATCTTCATTTATAATATCAACGTGAAATAAGAGTTAGTGATTATTAATCGGAAGTCTACGATTCGACCGCTAAATAAATATACTTAGATCTTTTCGTTCCGGCTAATATTACGATTTCGATAAATTCTAGCTATTACACTTAGATATTTATATTATGCAGATACTCTATATAAACTTTTTCTCCTCGTGCACATGTTACATGCCCGTTGCACTCTCTTATTCTCTGCATCGTAGATGGAACTCGATGCGATCGAACAACGAAATGAACAATCTTTCAAATCGGTCGCGCGTATATGTAAGTCAAACGATATATAAATCATTATTTACATTGCGATGAATGGATATCAAACATCGTTGCGTTTAATACCGAACACGGTGATTTTTCTGTTCGCCCTTCGAACTGTTTGACTGTTTGTTGAAATTGACTACAAAAATGAAACTTGATACGCATACGTTATACTTAAAAGCATTTACAATTTTATAAATAATCAAATTCCGTAGTAGCTGTGCAAACATTACGCCGTTCAATGTTTTATCGTTTTACCGTATTGTGTGGATACAATAATAGTACAGTCAAGAGTAGTAGTAGTAGTAGTAGTAGTAGTAGTAGTATAGTAGTAGTAGTAGTAGTAGTAGTAATAGTTTCTGTCTTTCGCTGTGTGATATTAATTACCTACAATTCTTGTACACGATTTTTATATGTATGGGTGTAACGCAAGTGCCCTGCCGCGCAAACCTCTCTGACCGCCGACACCACCCTTCGGTATCACGTATCCTCCTGCGTGTTTGGCCGTTCCCTCCTCCTCCAAGTTGCCGTTGCTTTCGATCAAATCGCGTAATGGCCAACAAGCTAAATGACGCGATTTTCCATGACGAGCTAACACATGATATCCTTGTCTGAAAATGGCACACAACACATCCTAAACATGTTCAGTTTTAACTAACGAGCGAGCAAGGAAGCTTGCAACGTACCTAGACGAGATTAGACCCACGAGTAACGCCCAGTGGGCTTTATGGCCTCTTTTTAAGCATGGTGCATGATTGAAGTCGGAGTCGTATGGGATCAGTACCATTGCACCGTGAGCTAAAGCGTGCGTTAACGTGTCTGGGCACTGTTGCAAATCCACTAAGATATCCGGTCTATGGTCAGGTAAATATTCGGCAGCTAGTGTACCCATGAAATCGACGCTGTACACCTCTCCGTGTTGGGTGAAACCTCTCACACGAGCCTCTGCTAAAAGCTGACTAACGGAAACTGGCTTTGTGTATTCCTGCGACGCCATCGCAAGTGCCACCAGACCGCATCTACGAAGTTGAATTTATATAAATACGTGAACCACTTAATAGAACAATGACTTGAAGACAGTGGACACTTACTGTGGTCCATCTTGCAAGATCGGTTCAACTTGACAAAAATACGTGACTTCCGCATCCTTCAACTCGTTCCGCGCTATCAGTTTTTCAATTTCCGCCTCTGCAGATGTAAGAGTAATTTTCGCCCACGGTGGCAGAGAATCTGCATCGTTCACTTCGGTTTTCTCGCACATAGGTGCGTCTGGCAAACTTGAGAGAGGTGGAGGCGGTGCTGGCATTTGTCAAGCAACGAACAGGGCGCGAACAAAACTGTTTTGTTCGGTTAACGACGAATATCTGTGGTCGCAGGTTTCGATAAAAAAGGCGAATGCTTTCCACGACTATGAAATCATACACCTGTGCTTTAGTATCTTCAATTTAAATATTGCCATCTCTCGGTGGTATGCTCTCTGTTCACTGGAGAACTGTGCGATATTCCTCGGTCATCGTAAATCCTTTCGATCTCTTGTCAAGGTCCAAACTGGAATGTCAAAGAAAAAACACTGTACGATTTGTAATGTATCTGGATTTGAAATGATAAACAGTGTAACGGCTAACAAGAAAATTTGAGGGAATTTAAATCACGAAACGGTGTATTGCACAAAACGAATCACGAAACAGACGGAAAGAACAAAATGAGACTATGTACGTGTACTCTAATACAGTTGAGATTCGATTTATCCATTACTCATGTAACCTTGAGGAATCTGTTACGCTGTATCAGTCATCGTTCCGACAAACATGAAATTGCACGAATCTCGCTGGACACCATTGAAAACAATCATCTTCACAAAATCGATTTCGCCTCACAACTGACAGGGTCTGCACCGCGAGCCGAGATATCCCATTTAAAACTGTTTTAAGAAGTCGAACGTCTAACACGAGGAACGTACACCTTTGCAGAAATTCTAATGGCAGCACGTCGTCGCAATCGACATCGTCACGACATACTAATCAGCGATAACATACATGTCAGTCGACGACGATTACCGATTTAACGATTGTAGTGCACGTAAGATCTCATGCAGATCGTGTGTTGGATCAGTCGTACAGACGAGGCCAGGCCAGTACTTTCGTTCACCATACCTGAAACGTGCGGAAACCGTTGCAGCACGATTTTGACGTTTACACGTCCCCCCTTATTCACCCTGTGCGTGAGTCATCCACGTACATTATGTAATTCCTCGGTAAAAATAAGAATTAACGACACTATTTCGGCCACGTCGATGGACTTCAGGGGTAAACGTATAAACGAGCGACGAGATTCTTGAAGATCACTCCCTGATCGCGATCGTAATTTCTAATCCTCTGCGAGGGAGCTGACACCAGCACACTTTGCCTTATTCGTCGAGGCGCCCGTCACGGTATACAGTCCGATAAGAAATTCCTCGTGGGCGCTATAGTTACGAAGACGATTCACTAGTTTGGGCAAGTGCATTGTTTCCAAGAACCCTAGCAGCACTCGGCTGGTATGCGTACACGAGTTATCCTTTTATACCGCGTTACGAACTGAAACGAATTCGGAGATTTCGCTACGTATGCCATGAGGAACTTTACTTTAACATTACTGTCATAGATGAAGACTCTCCGAACTCGTACGATACGATTTCGTAAAGACACCAACGTTGAATTCTAGCCGGAAAAATCGTGAGGTACACCATAGATAGATAAGATTATAGAGAGAAAATGATGCATCATTAACATTACTTGTTCAGATATTCTGAACCAATAGATTGAGTCATTATATGGAGGAATTAAAAAGGTTTATTTCTTTAATGTAATTAATTTAGTCGTTATTAATAATTTTGTAAAATGTAAGGAGTTGATGAGAGTGCTCATGCTTGGGATTTCGTCGTTCTCGTACAAGTGCTCCCACCAAGAGGACGACTCTTGAAAGGGCTTCACCGTAGCATATACGAGAACCCATATAGTTAGTAGGAATCTGTTCTGTTCCACTGTAGCAGAGACAGGATTTATAGAAGTTATCACAGACGAGATATACCATGTGCAATCGCCCCGCACTCCGCCAAGGCCGTCCAGCGACCTCCACCCGTATTCCCTCCACAGTCACTCGGTTTATGCTAGTTGCTGCGCTGCTCTGCTTATTATAGAATGTAACATTTTTATGAAGCATCTATCGCTCGTTTGAGATTAATTTCTCCTCACATTACAATTTCTATTTATTGGTTTAAGATTACACATAGAATTATAGAAAAGAATGAATAGAAATTGAGACACGTACTATATTTTTATTGCATGTTTTATTTGAATGAAATAACAGAAATTCGATTTGTGAAAGAGAGATTCTGGTCCACTCGGAAAGAGATTGCTGATTTTGAATCTGGTATACAGAGTGGACGATGTCCTTTTTAATATTCCCTTCCACCCATTTCAGCTGGTCTGAACGTTTCTCAAATGAAATCATTTTAATTGTTATTGTATCTGTAATTAGATATAATTAATCATTTAAAGGGATAAAAGAAACGTCTTACATATTTTTAATACTTTATTCATATAATTTCGTAGTTACGGCGTTATCTCTATATTTACACATCTCCAGTTTGTTAAAGAGATCTCTTCATGAACCGCGCTCGTGCGCGCACTGTCATACTATGTGTGTATCAGTGTACGTGTATCTGTACGTGCACTGACGTCGTGTATTGCCAAATCGCAAAACGACGCTGATTCCTCTTGTTTTCTTTTTTTTCTTACATTTTGCACTCGTCCTCTTCACCCGTTTCCCGTTTAAAACACACAGAACAGTCTACGCGAATGGAAAACAAGATCGAAACTGGCAATCAATAGCATAGTTAGTATGCGTCGTAGCGTTGAAAATCTCTGCGCGCATTTACAAATCGGGAATTCTAACGAAACGGTATTAGAGGCTTCGCATTGACGTGTAAAAAATCTAAACGCATTGTCGTTTATGCTACAGCTCGTATTTTATAAGTATCTCGTTCGCGTTCACGTTTAGCTTCCAAAAAAGAAAGATAAGAGAAGCGAGCCGAGAGATCGGCCCGATCCTCTTCCATTTTCTTTTTCTTCTTCTTGGATTGACATATTGCATATATTTTCACGGTTCGAACGTGTATATACGTACATACCCTTTCTTTGTCCGAAGTGGAGTTCCGGTGCACGCGCTCGAATCCTACTATACACACATACACATATAATGGTCTACATACATGTAAAAATCGGGAGCCTCAGCTTATGTATTCAAAGAACAAAAATATCCCGCGAAACTTTATACTAACGTCTCGTCGCCTGTTTTATTATACTGTGTCGTTCCACGCTCTAAACGGATCGTTTCTCAACTCAATACACGCGATCTTGTTCTAATTGAATTACGTGACTTGAAAAAATGAAACTGAAAAGAGCGAGCTAGCATTTCTCTGGCTTTTCACATTATTTCACCTTAAAATTGATGATCTCTTGAATTTTTTAAACAATTTCGAATTCAGAAAAATTATTACGATTATCGCATGTAACAGGAATAAAATTCATCGGCTGGAAATGATTCGTTTAAGGTGGGACGACGTTCCCTTCGGCTTGTTTCTGAACAAAGTTATTCTTCGCTATCTATAGACTGAACGGGCTTAATGCGCTCCGTAAGTGTAATAACTGTACAATTGTAAAATATAATTCCATCTAGCTGTAGCGAGTCTAGATACACTTGTGAGCTTACTATTTTTTTCAATTTTTCTTTTCGCATTTTATGGGTTTCTGCATGTACACTATCCAACGATGCTCTCTTCGCGATTCTTCACACTCTTTCTAATCTTATGGACTGTCCTCTCTTCTCTGTATACGTGCCTCTCTGACGTCTACGTTCATACACCCACGGCATTCGTTCCAGTTTACAAGTTATTTCTCACTTTCATTCTAATCCATTTTCAATCTCTTATGCGTCCACTGTTACCGCACTATCTACACAGTTAAAATATTAAAGATTTTAGATAAGCGCGACGTCCGCGGCACGCTTCGTTTCGAGGTTTAAGTTAAAGTTGGAATAACATTGTTTCTCGATAAGATAATATCTTAATTAGAAGTTAATTATAGTATGCGTCGTAGCGTTGAAAATCTCTGCGCGCATTTACAAATCGGGAATTCTAACGAAACGGTATTAGAGGCTTCGCATTGACGTGTAAAAAATCTAAACGCATTGTCGTTTATGCTACAGCTCGTATTTTATAAGTATCTCGTTCGCGTTCACGTTTAGCTTCCAAAAAAGAAAGATAAGAGAAGCGAGCCGAGAGATCGGCCCGATCCTCTTCCATTTTCTTTTTCTTCTTCTTGGATTGACATATTGCATATATTTTCACGGTTCGAACGTGTATATACGTACATACCCTTTCTTTGTCCGAAGTGGAGTTCCGGTGCACGCGCTCGAATCCTACTATACACACATACACATATAATGGTCTACATACATGTAAAAATCGGGAGCCTCAGCTTATGTATTCAAAGAACAAAAATATCCCGCGAAACTTTATACTAACGTCTCGTCGCCTGTTTTATTATACTGTGTCGTTCCACGCTCTAAACGGATCGTTTCTCAACTCAATACACGCGATCTTGTTCTAATTGAATTACGTGACTTGAAAAAATGAAACTGAAAAGAGCGAGCTAGCATTTCTCTGGCTTTTCACATTATTTCACCTTAAAATTGATGATCTCTTGAATTTTTTAAACAATTTCGAATTCAGAAAAATTATTACGATTATCGCATGTAACAGGAATAAAATTCATCGGCTGGAAATGATTCGTTTAAGGTGGGACGACGTTCCCTTCGGCTTGTTTCTGAACAAAGTTATTCTTCGCTATCTATAGACTGAACGGGCTTAATGCGCTCCGTAAGTGTAATAACTGTACAATTGTAAAATATAATTCCATCTAGCTGTAGCGAGTCTAGATACACTTGTGAGCTTACTATTTTTTTCAATTTTTCTTTTCGCATTTTATGGGTTTCTGCATGTACACTATCCAACGATGCTCTCTTCGCGATTCTTCACACTCTTTCTAATCTTATGGACTGTCCTCTCTTCTCTGTATACGTGCCTCTCTGACGTCTACGTTCATACACCCACGGCATTCGTTCCAGTTTACAAGTTATTTCTCACTTTCATTCTAATCCATTTTCAATCTCTTATGCGTCCACTGTTACCGCACTATCTACACAGTTAAAATATTAAAGATTTTAGATAAGCGCGACGTCCGCGGCACGCTTCGTTTCGAGGTTTAAGTTAAAGTTGGAATAACATTGTTTCTCGATAAGATAATATCTTAATTAGAAGTTAATTATTTTAGTATAAACGTCTTGTCGTTAGTCGTCAGTACATCGAAGGATATGCAGATAAGGAGTTTGGAGGGCAGTGATAACAATATGTTCGCGCTTCTCCATAAATCGGCAGACGCGGTGTGCATCTTGATTATTATTATTAGTAGTAGTAGTAATAGTAGTAGTAGTAGTGTAGTAGTGTTTAACGATGATTTCGCTAGTTCGCTCGTGACCAAGCAAAGTGTAATCATTGAAATTGTTCTCGAAAGAAGGAAAGAGAAAAATTATACTCGCTACGGTACTTTCATATTAACGAACACATACGCGGATACAATCGTTGAAGAATTACGTGGCAACGCTTTGATATGGTCAACCGATCTGATAAACATAGTGTCGTGGTCGTTTCGAAGATTAATTACTTGCGGAGAGAAATTATGTTTGTACTGTAGTCGATTTTCATACTGAACTCGCTTTTCCATATGTGTTATAAAATAATTGCACTTGCATGGTTCACAATGGATTTTCAGTGTTCACTCAATTACGAATACAATTGAGATTATTATATTTTATCAGTTTTCTTAGATGAAAATAAACTAGTGTAATTTTGCATTTGACAGAGTATTAAAATGTCTGTAGAATCTAAGTAACAGTTTTTCTCTTTATTTCTTAAAGAAATCATGAACGTTTTACAGTCGAACAAGCAAGGAAATATAGAATAATGTTGTAGATGTTATTTACATAGGATAAAAAAAATTATGAGTGTTCTCGATTATTATTCATTAAACATTCGATACTCTAAATAATCGCATAATTTATTGTGTGATAAATCACTACTAAAAGCGAATTCAAGCAAATACGTAGGAAGCATTAATTATCAATTGTCGCCCCGTTAATACGAAAGTGCCAGGACGCTCTGTTAACTATACATATTTTTGATTTATCATATTAGATTGAATTTCCTTGTTACTTTCATTCGAGTAGATTTTCTTCTTTTTCTTTTAAATTTTTAGAGGTTGAAACTGGAAGAAGTAAGCGTATTTACATTTGAAACGCATAAATTCGAAGGTATTGCGTCAATGACGATATCGTTAAGACTGCCCGCTCAACTGTAGCCACGTAAATGTACAAAATTTTACATGGACACTTTTTATTTTATGGTCTAGTCATGATCTCAAGGGTGGAAATTGCAAAAGTTTAGTTCAGCTGAGATAGCAAAGATTGTTAAGCGTCGCATATAGCAATCATTTTTTTTTTTTTATTAATTTAATGTAGTGTCGCATAGTTGGTGTGTATAAGAAAATGATTGAAAATGAAAGGGAAGAATGCTATGATGTTTTTTTTTTTTTGAGATTTTTGCATTTGCATCCATTAAGCTCTTGTGCGATTAAGCTATGGAACCGTCGTTATCCGAATGATACTTTTTGTTTTTCCTATGATTTTTGTAACTTTTAGAAAATTTGTAAGATATACTTTGGCATTGTGTTTTGAACAATTGTTTCTTTCTGTTAATAACAGTTGTGCACACAAAGATTTTCCATCAGCCCCGGTTTATCCGATTTTCCTTCATTTTTTGCATGTCGCACGTTTCGACAATTTCTTCCTTTCGTCATCCCAAAGAGATAATTTATAAGAGATTTCTGATTTGATATGCGTCAGCGATTAGATCGTGATTGGTTCGGTTCAGACTTTGTTTTTAGACTTTCTTCTGATTAAAACTGAGAAAATCGTGTTTCCCTGAGCCAGCATTGTCGAAAGCGACGAGTTTTTCATTAGCTATTATCATCGAGCTCGCTTTCTCGACCGACCAAGGAACTTAGTGTTAAGAATTTAAATATAACTTTCTTTTTGTTTTATCCGAAAAGACTTGGTGCATTTAGGTTTACTTATATGCATAGATTAAGAAGAGATAATTCTTAGATATCGATAAAATCATCCGAAGTCGGGTAATTATTTGAAAAATCAACGAATGTGATTGCTCGGTGTCTATAGATGGAAGATCGCAACGAACACGCTTAGGGAAAGAGTAGCGAGTCTTCGACTAATACCTCAAAACGGCGACGACACGTGGAAAGCGATATAAAAGTATTTTATGCGAGTTGATTGAAGTATTATAACGGAGAGCTCGTGAGGTATCAAAGAGAAGTGCGTTGGAGCGCGTTTATAGTTGCTCATAACGAGGCTAATGAGTCCGCTCGTTAGCGAGCATGTCTCGAGTTAAGGCTCCATGGGATTAACAAAAGGCCGAGCGAATCGGATGTGAAAATGCCAGCCGGGCGAACTTTCTATAAGTCGTTTAAAGTCGGACAAAGAGCAAACTTGCGTTTCTCGTACCTCTGCCCGGGTGTTTGTTTTAATTAATATCACTTAAACGACTGTTTCGCATCGTGGGGGAAGAGATAACGTGGAATGAAAAATCTGTTCCATCGATTTGATTTTATCCCGTTGGGAACGATCATTGAATCAATTTAACTTCTAACTTCCACCTCCTTTCCTTATCACTTTGTGTTATTGCTTCCTCGTTAGTGTAACATTACGTTCCCGAGAAACGTTTCAAGAGTCGTAGCAGATTTTTTCTAATTCTCTCGCAGTCAGAAGTCTTTTGAAAGTAATTTTTTTATCTATTTACTGGTCGGCATAATTTTTATTCGTCGAAAAGAAGCAGGTGGGACTAGTGTCTCTGGCAATGAAAGGGTTTCTTATACGAATTCAGATGGCATCGAAAATTCACAATATTAGAGGTGATCAAGTCAGTGATCTTATAGTAGCTTAGGTTCATACAATCTCTGCGTTCTATGCACCAACTGGGTATTTTGCAATCTAGACTGGCGGTGTATTTAACTAATCAACAATTCGAATTATCGCCTTTCATCGTTAAGATGAGAAAATTTGATTCAATATTATGTACCAGTCTGGACTGTTCGAAGCCTGTTGGAAAGCAGGGTGCGCACACCAAGCAGGAAAATACGAAAATAGAGGTGGACAACTATATTAGCTTTTTCTCATTGTCTTTGAAAGTTTTGTTGTCCGTGTTTTCTTTGTGAGAAGAGTTTTGCACCGATGACAGGAAGCTGGAGAGTTTCCGTAGAGGCGACAGAGCTCGACAAGGAAAAGTGGCCTCGGATTCATAGATAGACTTAGATCCGTGCGATGCGCCAATATATTTAACCCTTTGCGGCCCTACATGATCCATGAGCTTTCACTACTTTAATTCGTACAGAAAACTTTATTTCTTAACTGACGAAGCTTGTTTACACAGAGGTATCATACAGTACTTTAGTCAATAGAAGTATCACAGAAACGTCAAAGGAGTTGCGAACGAAATCAACGTGAGAATGAGATGCGAGGAAGTCGTAATCAGTTAACAGGAAATTACTTAATATCTGAAAAATCGTGATTCTTTTTCAAACGTTCTGATTGTTCATCAAGTTAACAGATAATATCGATCGAATGCAATTTTCAGAATAATAAATGATTTCCTTTCCACCGGTTGCGACTCCCTTAAAGAAATGAAAACGATACCACTGAAGCGTTTAAATAACAGGACACTAAATGCACTGCACACATTGAAACATATTGCGATGCGCACACTTTTCATTGCAATACATACACTTGATATAATTGAAATGAATCCATAAAGCCTGATAGTAAAAAAAAAAATTCGCGCAAGGCAACACGGTTCCAATGTGTGCAGAACGCTTAAGAAGCAACAAGTGACGACGACGGCTGAACCAATGTAAGACGGCATCGGACATCAAAGGGTTAAACACCGGTTGGATTCGATTCGATTACTCTTCCCTCTTTGGCAATTGCATTCACACCCTGTGTATACGTTTAAGCATCGATCTGCACATGGCTACGTGTCGTTCGCTACTTTTCGAACAGCGTCCTTCGAGCGTTATCACTTAAAACTTAACGTCTCTTCGTTTCCCGTCACGTTCCACGCGGACGCGTTTTACTTACGTGTTTAAATACACCGACGTTACTTTGAGTTGCTTCTTTACGTTCAAACAAAACAACGCGGACTATCATCGTCTCTCTTGTCCGTTCATTCTAATCGCAGCATGCACACATTTAACACGCATCCACACACGCTCTCTCTCTCTCTTCCATCGTGTTTAATAAAATCTATATAATTTAATAAACAATTTACACGCATAACATAATCGATAAATATCGTATATGTATATATATATATATATATATATATTTTTTTTTTCTTCTATACAACAATAAGTTCATTAATTGCTAGATAGGATCGTTCGTATTGATACTTTCCTTGCGCGTTAGTTCCAACACTTTCCCGATCGCGTTTCGACAACTCTCAATCAAAAGGATTTTCATTATTCCTCCATCCTTGACGCGGTGCTTCGAGTAATACAATCTTGAATGCCTGTCGACCTAATTTAAGATCATACACGTAAACGCTATCGCGGTAACAAATTTTCTCATGTACAATGAATATAATACACAACTAACAATTTATCAGCAACAAGGAGGAAGTTTGATTTCACGGCTAGTCGACGAGCCACCAGAGTGTGTACGGATTTACATTTCATAGAGGTCTCGATATTCGAATTCGTCGGAGAAGTGCTGGAATCAAAGCCGAGCGTCGATTTTCATTTTTTCTTAACGAAGAGCGATGACGCTGTGCTCTGCGATTTTCGATCGGCACAACGGTACGATGCATTTCTCTGTTTCTGACGCACACCCTCGATGCCGTATGTATATCTTGAATTTCCGACTGACGCGAATCAGCCTTGGCTCGTTCCGACTCGTCGGACGAGCGCGATCGCCCCGCTAAGAAGATCATCGCCGGCGTCGATTATGTCAGACATCGGATATGCTTGTGGCTCGAACTGACCGATGATCGAACCAGCGTCTGCGATCAATCCCTGCTCCCGTAAACGGAAATTCTCATCGATCACGACTCCAACGGTACAGTTCGTGATCCGTCGAGCCGCACGCGAACACTGTTCATATCTCGTCGTTCGCGAGGGGACATCGTCCTATACGTTTCGTCAACGCGTTTCTCGACTACGGCTAATAGTTCCCCTAGCACCAACGAAGAACCTAAGTAAAGATGCTTCACACGTTTCTTCATCAAGCAGTCCTCAGACGACTGGTCGCGTCATTCATCCCGGGGATAACGGAAAGTAAAGAAAAGCGACACGTGTGTGCAGCCGTGAAGCGGACGCATGAAATGTTGAAGACGGCGACGGCCGGGCCGGCTCTACACGTACCACTCTTTGATGTCTATCAGTTCCCGTTTCTTGTGAGGTTTGCTGCAGTTCGCGCCGTTCTTCAACGCGCCGTTAAACGCCTGCCCGGAGCCAGCGGCGCCGAGCAATGCAGCGTTCGGGTCCTGGCAGAACGTCTTCGTCTCGTCCATCTTGCAGCTGGCCTCCGGCCGATTCTTGAACTTGAGGATGATCAGTATGATCAGAATGATCGCGATCAACGCGGCTGCTATGATGCCGATTATCAAGGCGGCGTTCTCCTCCGCCTCGGATGTTATCCTCTTGTTATTATTGTTCTTAGGCGGCGTGGGTATCGGAGGGTATATCGGTGGCGGCGGCGGGTCCGTCATCTCCGTGGTAGTCGTTTGGGTCGTCACAGTTGTCGATCTTTGCGTCACAACGCTGCTGCAATGTGAAATATCTTTATTTATTTAACAGCATAAATGTCTTAAATATTATAAAGAAGAATTGTTAACTATTGCGGTATTCGTATATCGTATAATGATTTCTATACAACACGAATAAATAGTTAATGGTTCATTAATTGCTCAAATTGAATTTGTAACAAATTTTTAATAATCGCCAGACAAATTAAAAAGGAAAGTCCATAGCATATAGAAATTTGAACCAATATTCAAATGTTTTTAATAAAATGAAAATAAACTGATATTATCACGATGAAATTGAAATGGTTACAACGATCGGTAATATTACGCAATCAGCACCATTGTAGCATTAATTGATATTAAAATAATATTTAAACAGGACATGATTGCAAAATGTGAATGGAGAATATAATAACAGCTGGAAATATTATTTAATATGAATGTCTTTAGAAATATAATTTACATTTCTGTATAATAACATTTTAGTTATTCCGGTTTTTAAGTATACATATATTAAAGTACAGATCGTATTTGACTCTTAATTTCGTTAAGGAATTTAATTAACGATAAAAACAAACAATATGGTCGTGCGCGCATCAATTTAATATAGTCAATATTCGTCACGTTTATCAGCATCATTTTGAAAATGACCCTGTTATTGAAATCTGTAATAACTGATATATTTATAAAATATCAAAAATATATAGAATTACTGTTGGAACTACTCTTATTACGATTTATGGAAATTGAAAAAAGTAATTCCTTTTAATCTCAAAACATATCCGAGAACATTTGTTTAAGGATGTATTGGCTGCACACTCAATCCCAAAAGTTTATGCACTTTAGAAATGCATTTTTTAAAAAGAAATCACACGTCGGAAGAACATTGCNATAATTATAATAAATTATAATTAAACTTCAATACGTATTATACAGCAGATTGTATTAAACAAAAGTGTCACAGCATACTTCGCCCTCAAGAAACTTTACCCAATAATTGGCCGAACTGCTTAAAAGATTTCTCGATCACCGAGTTACAGTTTACAGGAAGAAAAATGATATACGACACTCACTCAAATCAAATAAAAAAGTTTTAATTAAAATATCGAAATAACTGTTTAAATAATTGTAGCACACGCAATTGCTTTCAGTATAAGAAAATAAACTTGTTCAAGGAAAAAAGAGCAACGAATAAAAGTGAATTATTTTTGGTAGAAGGCAAGAAACTTCTTTTAAGAGAAAGGCAGTTATCTCAAGCCGGAAGGTGTCATCGTAAGGGCATGTTTCCCCGGAAATTTGGGGAACGAGTTAAGCAATTACGCGTGGTTATTGTTAGTCTGAACGAACATCGCTGCGGGGGTGTTTTCGTTGATTCAGAGATAGCAGTAAACTCACCTAGGATGGCTGGTTTCAAAGTCTGTGGTTGACACATTGTACTGGACGGAGACGGTGACGATGTCCCGGGTCGATGTCGAGGACGGCGAGCTTGGAGACGTTTGCGTGCTGACGTGACTGGTCGTGTACTCGCGGGCCGTCGTGTACGCCACCGAGCTCGAGTCTGGTTTGGAAAAGGAGAGAGTAGAGAGTCGAGGGTATAGCGGAGCGGCAGCCGGCTGCTGCAATTAGGTACGCGTATCTGATTGGCTCCAAACAGGGGATGGGGTAGTAACGTGCTACCGACAATATTTACGCGTGCGTAGGCCGGCGATATTCACGCGTGCGTGGCCGCCGGCCACGTTGCGGGATCACCGCCGAGCCAGAGGGACTCGTGTGTGTTTCGCGGTTCCCAGGAACAATCGTTCAATCATTCCCGCACCGAGCTTACACGCTCACTGGGATGATCAAAGAATGTGAATGATAACGCAACTTAATTCTTCAATTGTCATGGCTCGGTTCGTATTCAACGTGCATGCCTTTGTCAGTGTAGCCCTTTATACATTGACTACAGAACGCAAATGGTAAAATCCTTCAATAGAGAAATTCTTGTTATCTTTATAAGAAGTAAATGAATCATTTCAATCTTCGATCATTTCAATCATAAAAAATAATGAGCAGATCTCAATTCATTTTTTTTCTTTAAGTTTTGGAGTAAAGGTGTACTTAATTAGATAATGACGGAGTAATAAATGTCAATTATGGCTTTAAGTAAATATATCTGCTTCGGAGAGAAATTAAATTAGGATGGTTAAGTCAGGTGTGTAACAAGTTGTGTTAATTTCGAGTACACGTACTTGAATATGCAATGATCGTTACGAGAGATTTATATGTCAACTTCTTAAAGTATCTATTAGGCACTAATGGACTTTCATGAAATTGTTTTAGTTTTCAGTAATTCAATATTCAATTCGGTTTTGACTCAGTTACTACAATCGTCTGAAAAATCCTAATTATAATTTTACGTTAATGCATGTACAAAACGTAACAGGGTAGAAAGCTCGGTGTACGATGTTCACCATCGATTTGCGGTTGAACTAGTTACAATATGTCTACCGGGTAGGTTCATTAACCGCTTAGGATTCGCCGATCGAAGTATTCTCTTCCTAACAGCATAATCCAAAAACCGAGGCTAGTTAATCTGATCAAAAATCGTCTTTAATTAAACTGTCATATTCTTATTTAAATGATTACGCCAGTTAAGGAAATAATGTAATTTCTATCATTTCGCTTTTAGATTAACAATAACTCGATAGACTGGCACATCTTTGAATAGTATCGAAGTCCAGGACCACCAGAAGTGAATTGTATACATATATTTTCGTTTTATTACCGTCAGCAAATGCCGAATAATAGAAGCGAAAGGGTAAAAATGGAATAACGTATTATCGTACCGGTGAACAATTTTCGTTCGGAATTGCTTTAACCGCGGCGGACAGGAGTGGAAAGAGCGGAGGCGAGTATCCGCCTACCATTCCGCAAATGAAAAGTGCAGTGAAAAAGTCGCATCGAACGGGGTATTTTCGTGACGGTCAACATAACGGGTGTTAGTCCGGGGCTGGTGAAGTTTTTCATCGTATCAAGCCATGGGATATGCAGATGAACGCCCACGATGGGCCAGATATTTCCATAACGAGTTTTCGCGTGCGTTCCTCCTCCCACGACCTCGCAGCATTCCTCTTTTTATTCGTTTAGGTTTTACCGGTCACGGCGAACCTCTTGCCTCAATTATAAAACGCGTAATGAGGGGAGAGTGGGGGGAACAATCTCGAAGCGGAGCTGATCTCGCTGGCAATAAATATTAATACGCCTGGCCACGAGGCGGAAATCTCGGCGGAGCCGAGGGCGCTTCAAATTTTGATAGCGTTTTTCATCGCGGTTTTCCGGCCTGTTTGCCGGAGATTCTTGTTGCACGTGTGTGGGCTCGATTTTCCACGTCTACACTCTCGCCTAGAGTTCATTTTGATTTCATATATGCTGTAATTTTAACCTAATGTATCGTTTTAAAATTCATCACAGAGATTATTAAAAGCAGGAGTTTAGTTCTACTCCATTCGCTTCTATCCCGTTTTTGTAATAATTTCGAAAATGTTGTGTAATTAATGAAAAGTTTAAATCGTTGCCGGTACTATTTAGAATAATAGGAATTACATTTTTAAAGCTCGAATTTTGAAAGCTTCTATTATAATAATTTTCAAATTTAATTTGAGTTATGCATTTACTCCAGAAGAATAAACGTAATAACGTTAATGAAAAAAACGGTTGTACGACTGCTATGGGAATGAGTGTCCAAGCTGAGCGATAAATATTGTGGTCACTGTTTCCCAAGTCGAGAGCCTCTCGTACAAACAGACACGCGTTCAACAATATTTTTTGCAAACCTTCTGGGGAGAATTGTAAAACTATTTCGCCTCTCTGTGCGTTTTGAACAAACAACTAGATATACCTCTGAATGAAAGAACTCTTGGAAAAAAAAAATAATACCTACAATGTTTTTGAAAACACTCCGTTTTACATGCGGGTGCATTTTATTTGAAAAATAATCATATTCAGTCTGTTCGTGATTTATTGTATAATTATAACTTCAAGATTTTTCTGTATCTTGATTTATTATAATACTTTAAATTTATGGAAATTACTAATTTGTCTGATCAGACACTTGTGGATATCCTGAGAGTTATGAACGGAGGTGTACACATACATAGTAGGGCAGGAAATGAACGAGAGGAAATCGTGTGCGGAAAATCAATACCGAGGTTCGTGTGGTTCGCTCGTAGGCTCAGAGAAATTGAGTTAAGAATTTTAGGTTCTCCGACCGTGGCAAAGATCACTGTTATTACTTATCTTTCACTCGAGGGCTACACGTGTCCACCGCGCATGCTTCTTATTCGCAAACTTTTTCCGTAGTTAAGGAAATCTTAAAGGAATAGCAATCAGAGACACGAAGGGAGATCGCGTATTATTAGAAAGTTATTTCTTAATATCTTTCTTTAGGCTCATATTCAGAACCTTCGGACCGAGAGATATAAAGGGTCTTTGAAGTCTTGGTCGCGTCGTTCCAATGGCTTCCGATAATAAGGAACACTTGTAAGTGTCCCACTATACGGGGGACACAAATCTTCCTAAGAAATCATAGGACAGTCATGGTATAAAATTTCAATTACTTGTCATTTTGATTTAAATAGAAAATTGACAAGAAAATCTTCTTAAGATATTCAATGGTCATTTTCCTCATTCCTTCAATTATAACTTGCTTTAATTAATTAAAAATAGAATTTGTGAAGGAATTAAGTTGCGACTTATTCCCTGTATTTTTACTCTGAATATGAAGGAAAAGATCGATACAAAAACTACATGTCCCAAATATTTCGTTAAAAATAAGATTGTTAATACAGAGCTACTTTATTTATTTGGAGCCACCAAATTCAAGGAAAAAATAATTATTGAGAGAAACAGACCAGTGACGGAAGTGACGAAGATTTCTTCGGTGGTGACCGGTTCCCCGGAGCCCTCCTCGCAGTCCTCCTCGTCGTCGCAGGATAGACGTTCCTTCATGTCCTCTTTGTGATGCTTCGGCCTAAGCGTCGTCGGCGACTTCGTCGGCGCGACGTACACCGGCGTTATTATGTCGTCTGCGGACACAGAAAGAGAGAGGGGGTGGTAGGTTGATAATCATCGAAATTGCGTACAGAGCGGGGCGGTGCGACGTTCGCATAATTTCCGTATGATTGCGGGGTCTCCGACGCAGCATGGCGCGTCGCGGCGATGTGTTTGCGTCATCGGTGTAACGGGAAACGAAAATGTGGTTACCAACGAGCTGGGCATGAAACGCGGGGGCGGCGTAGCATATAATGGAGATAGAATGCTCGTTTGATTGGGGCGTTTTGTTCGGCATATATCGAGGATCGTTTCGGGTTTCAATACAGTTGCCACGGAAACGCAGTTAGTTTTCGATTTTCAATGAAATCATCTCAATGATCCGATTTGATGGAGGACGTGCTAGATATATGTATACTTCGACGTCGACGCAATGGTTCGATGAAAATGAGTAATTTTATTAACATGCTGCGAATATTAGCTGAAGTATGTATGAAGTATGTATAGAAATATGAAGCATCTCGTGTGTGTGTGTGTGGGCAGATTGAAATTTTCGAAATCGTACGAATAAATTGCCTGATGGTCGAGTAGGTAAAATTGGTGCTGATGTAATTACGGCATTGTCCGAGTAAAAACTGGGTGAAGCACCGAGACGAATAATGTTGGAATGAAATCCTTGAACTGATTCTAATCCCTCCTGTCCAGCTCGAGTATATTAACTTTCGTAATCCGTGCCGAAAGCTCTTAGATTTTTGTCAGACTCCTGCATAAAAGATTTCGTGTTCGAAACGTTTATCGACGTCCCACTTGGCTCTAAATTTAGATAAGGTGCGAAGGATAGTCTTCTAACTGCTACCCTGAATAGCTTTAACCTTTAAGCCTTGTTAGACTGGCCATTAATTGCAAGCCGATTCGATTCCTTCCGAGAAAATAAACAGTGAAACGCCATTCCGTAAAGTGGGATTATTCGACGATACGAATTCACGTCTGAAGTCTAAATTGCGATTCAAGAAACTGCCGCATAAAACAGTTTCAATTGCATCTTAAAGTTTCATAGTTTTCTTAAAAATTTTTTAATCACGTGAGAAATACTTTAATTTACAGTTAAATGTAATTGAAAATGATATTAAAATTTCC